GCGATGGAGGCGGCGGAGGTGGTGCCGCGCCTCCCGTCTCTCGGCGAGCTAACGTGGCGTGTGATGGAGGAGGAGACGTCGCGAACGATGCTGTGAGTGAGGCGAAGATCACCGGTGCGGCGTGGCGGAGGTGGTGGCGGCGTGGAGTGGTGGTGGCGGTGGGTGGTGGTGGTGTGGTGGCGGTGGTGGTGGAGGTGGTGGAGGTGGTGGTGGTGGTGGTGGCGGTGGCAGGGGTGGTGGCGTGGAGGTGTGGCGGCGTGGCGCGCCTCGGGCGTCACCCCGGCGGCGAGCAGCTCGCCTAGTCAATCCTCAGCTAATCCTCAGCTCCGTCCTTACTCAGTGTCCTTACTCAGTGATGAATAGGTGACTCGTGCGGCGAGCAGCTCGCCGACATCGTCGGAGGAGAGGGGCGCGATCTCCCCATCTCTCCCCATCTCTCCCCCTCTCTCCCGTCTGCTCGCCGACGTCGTCGGAGGAGAGGAGGAGCGGCAGGTGGAGGACGCGGCGCGGCGAGGCGACGGTGTACCCGCAGGCGGTGCACGCCCACGCGGGGCGGGTGGTGAGGTGGAAGGGGCTCGAGGGTAGGGACGCGGGGAGGAGGTGCTCGAAGAACTGCTCAGCGAGGCCTGGAGGGCGGCTCCGAGAAGGCTGAGGGCAGGGGCCGTCACGGTGGGCGGACGACGAGCCACGCGGGAGAGAGAGGCCGAAGCAGTGGCCCATCAGCCGGCGCACCTGATGAGATGTGGGGGGGGGGGATGGGGAGAAATGGGGGGAGAGAGGGAGATGCAGTGGCCCATCAGTCGGCGCAAGTGAGGGGGGGCCAGGGAGGTGCAGGCGTGGGAGGGGGGTGGAGGAGGTGGGTGGAGGGGGGGAGAGGCCAGGCAGGGAGGGGGGTGGGGGAGGGAGGGAGGCCGACGAGGGAAGGAAAGGGGGGGGGGGGGACCCCAAGGGGGGAGAAAGCCCGAAAAACCTCCCCCTCTCCCTTCCAATACCCGGTCCAAAAAGGCCCAAAAGGGGGGGGGGGAGGGTCACAAAGGGAGGGGGGAAGGGGGGCG